ACTCTCGCACACAGCGGACCGAGCAACTTCACTGAGGCTGGCTGAGAGCTGCCAGGACGGCACCAAAAGGAATACCAACCCAGAAAGGCCAGCTGCTGCAGCCACATCCAAGGTGACGGCACCGAGTGAAACACGGAAGTCCACGAACCTGTGCCGGATCATGTGCACACATGAGGATGGGAAGATCCACCCGACTGCTCACCGCGGCTGCCCCGGCAGGCGCCCTAAAACATTCAGCCTCTGGATAGCTGACCAGTGTCACACTCGCTCTCTGCCCACTTTCCACCTTTGTTAACTGAAAAATCCCAAGAAATCTGCCGCTTGTCCAGACAGGATTATTCTTTCCATCGGGGGGACTCACTCTGCCAGGGGCCTGGGACGCCACAGCCATTGGCTATGGGCAGGACGCACTCACCTACGCTTTGCCACATGTTTCTGTACCACCCCAGTCTTCACAGCCGCCAACGGTGGCCAGCTGCACAGGGCTTTCCCCTCATAGGTGTCCTCCACACTCCCCATTTAGTAACCATCGGGAAACTTGCAGATATTTCCAAGAAGGTAAAAAGAAAGCCACCAACATCCTGCCTCACGGGTTCCCACGGCAGCACCCAGGTCCAGGCTGAACATGTACCCAAAGGCCAGGGCCGTCCACACGCCAGCCAGTCAACTGGACACCGCACGGCAGCGACTGTGTGCTAGCCTACTGCCAAGGTCAAAGATGATCAAACGGATCCTCAACCCGACCCCCACCAAAGGTCTCAGCTCCAAGACCGTGAATGGCAGGCACTTCAGGGGGACCCAGGAGCGGCAGGGGTGTCACCTCCACTTAAGCACTTAAGTGGGGGGGGGGCAGTCTGGGTACAGTGCCACAAAGAAAGTGGCCCGGCAGCAAAGGAGCCAGACAGGACAGGAGGTGGGGGGGCAGGGGGCCGGACGGGGCAGGGGGCGGGGCCAGGTGTGAGCACATGACCCAGCAGGAAAGGTGCACCAGGTCTCAGTAAACACGAGAATCCTGTAGGAAAAGTCAGCAGGAACTCAAAAGGGCTGGCAACGTGGGGAGATGCTGGGTCTTTCCGCACCCAGCCTTCTCCACCTTGGCTCTCCCGATCACAACGACCCTGTTCACCAGGGGCCCCCGACCCCCAGCATGCCGCCTGCTGCAGGCGTGGCGACAAGAGGCTCCGTGAAGCGCCAAGGGGTGTGACCAGAGCAGTCAAAGACACTGCTCAGGAAACACGCTCGCTTGCTTGTTGCATCTCGGAAGGTGCGTGTAGCAGCCTTGGGTTCCACTGCTGGGTTGGTCTGAACCCTCTTCAGAAGAGCTGCTACTCTGGGACTCCACGTGCTGCTCCTGCTTGTGTCCCCAACCGGTCTGAAGTGGGCTGGAGGGTCACACCAAAACACTTCCACGAAGGGCTCCTGTGCAGGGCTTCTCCTGTCACCCACAGGAGGTGGAAGCTTTATAAAGCGTGACGGAACATCGCAGCCAGACACGTGGAGAAGACACAAGTCCCACCCAAGCTCTGGCCTAGCACTGGTACCACCGACAAGCCGGAGCTCACGGCAGGGGCTGCTCTCTGCCAGGGGCAGCGAGCGCATCGGCAGAGCCCCGCAGGCATCCTGGGCACAGCAGGCCCTCGATGGCCAGCAGGGGCCCTCTCTCCTCACTCTACAACTCTCTCAAGGCACAAACTGACAAGGATCCTCTGCTGACCGATTCTCACACAAACTACCCAAGTGCCTGGAAGACCCCAGCCAGCGGTCCGGCCAAGCAGGACAGGGAGCACTCGGTCGTCAGGCCGACAAGCGAAAAGCGTGGAGACTTGGGGAAAACTCACAGCCTAATACTGTCAGGAAAAAGGCCTGCGTCTGCGATCCTCCCGGTCCTCCTCTTCCTGTGCAGCCCCTAACCAGGCCCTCCCACTCCCAGGAAGCCCCATGAAACCATGAGGTAGGGAAGGGCATCCCCCCAGAGAGTGGCCAAGGGGGTAAAGGCAGCCACCAGGCGGAAAAAGGGCCAGACAAACCAGGATGAGGGTTTTTGGCAGGAAAGGCAAGAGAGGAACCAGCCACGTCTTCAGACTTCTGTTTTCTCTGCAGATGTGTCTTAGTATACTACTCCTGTGATAGGAAGGGAGGAACAGACCACAGGTGCAAAGCCCAGGCCCCAGGCCCCCCACAAACCCACAACAATGCCCATCTACTACCCAGCACCAGAGCGGCGGCACGGGGCTGCCTGGTGACTTGCGGCAGAGAGAGCCAGAGCGCCCGCGTCATCATCCCCAAGCCTGTTACTTAAAGTAACCAGCAGCTCTTCTGTTTAAGATGTTGGGTATAAAAAAAAAATAAACAGAGCATCTTCTCATTAAGAATGACTATCACCTTAGAACTAGTTCACCTCAGTGCCTTTTTTTTTGTTTTAACCTGAAAGCATTTTATATACAGCTCCAGTTACAAAGCATCAACAGCCCTGGCAAGACACACACGTGTGTACACACATGCATGTGCACACACGGTCATGTACCTGCACATGCATGTGTATCTGCATACACAGACATGTACAGGTGTGCACACAGGCCCCACACAGGCTGCTGCCACAGATCTTGCTCACTCTGCAGGAGCAAGAAGACGGCTCTCCTAAGATCCCCAAACCCCTGCCCAGGTGGGGCTCATGCCCTTTGCCACCATGCCAAGCCAGCCTCCAGCACCCCCAGCCAGCCCATGGCTGGCCCCTTGCATCCCAGCCAGTTCCTGGCCCCTCTAGCCTGCCCCTGGGCCCCTGCTGACCTGCTCCCTGGCCTGCCCTCAGCTAGCTGCTTGGTTGTAAGAGGCGTTACATTAACATCATGAGGCAAAACGGGTATGAACTGTTGTATGGAAAATGAATGTGCTCTGTCAACTTTCACCCAAATCACAGTAAAATTTAAGAACAAAAAAGACAAGCTCTAGGAGGACCCGCCCTTTGAGAACCTTTCCCTGCTTCAGCAGCCAGCAGCCATGCAAGCAGCTCCAAGTGGAGGGGATGCCAGCCAGCCCCACATGCGGGAGCACAGGGTCAGCACCTCTAGGCTCTCAAGACCAGCCACAGCTCAGGCCACCACAAGGCAGCCTGTGGACCCAGCTCTAGGACAGCACCCAGCGCCTGGGTCAGGCTTGGGCTGCACACCCAGCACCATGCTGAAGTGGGCCGCTGTCTCCTCCCGCTGGTCCACCACGCTCCACCAGGCCACCAGCAGATGCTTGACGTGTGAGCTGGATCTCCTAGAGATGCTAGGACAGGTGTCCATGCATATCTTTGACTCTAAAAGGACAAGTTTATTCCAAAAAACACAACAAAGGCGAGACTCGACTCCTGGTACGTGGCTTGGCTAAGTCACCTGCTATGAAAATTTAGGTCCAAAGCAACTGTCTGCTTCCCGGTCACCCCTGGTCACCTTCGACCCATCAGTTCGGGACTCCCAAACAGATGCCTTTTCCTGGCAAGAGTCGGCCCCACCGAGGCAGCTAGTGCCCTCATGCCAACCCTGACATTCCACGAGCCAAAGGCGCACCTATTAGGAGCACAGGGAAATGTGTGTGCCTCATGGGACAGGAAGGGCCTGCCTCGCCCTCACCTGGTGCAGGAAGCGGACAGTGCTGCCACAGAGAAGGGAGTACTTCAGACCTCAAAGTCTACTTAGGGAGTCCAGTGGTCCGCCTTATAAGAGCCAGCCTGGCCAAAGGGGCTGTCCGTGGCACCAACAGCAGTCTTCTCTAGGGACGGGGACTGTGGAACATCTTATTCCCTTTCTTGTCTGAATGTACTGATTTTAACAAGTACACACTATTCTGTGAAAAGGATTAAAAGTCAGCCAGACAAAACAACACTCAGTATTGCCACTTCAGACTTGAATTCCCAACCTGGAGTGAGCAGCCCTGCTTCTCTCTACACAGAGCTGTGTTCTTAGCACTGCCCCCACTGCGCTACTCACAACTCGTGACGTTTGAAAACCGAAACGTGTTGTTGAAGCACAACTTGAGGTAAACCTGAATTATTCCAAGTGACGAACGAGCATGAAACACCACAAAAAGCAAACATCGACACACTGAAGGTAATTTTCATCCCTTACTGATGAAGTCTGTCACTTCCTCACCAAGTACAATGAACCTAGTAAGTCCATCACCTGTGAACAACAAAGCAGTCTGGGTGGCCACACACACATCACCCCCTCATCTGCCTCGTCTTCCCCAGGCCTTCCCGCCTCAGTCACCATCTTTACGCCCCAGCCCGCCACGTGCACCATGGTTTCTCAAAGCCAAGGGGACTGAGGGAGCACGAGAGAGGCGAACTCACCTCCAGAGGAACACCTGTCCCTTCCACAGAGATGAAACACGGCCAGAAGACTGAAACCAAACCCACCCAGTCACTTACACACTCTTACCGAGACAAAAGTGTTTTAAAGAGAACTGATGAAGGAACCAGTCAGTCAGGGGAAGGACCGGTCAGGATGAGGACTACGGGCTGGGAGCACACGCAGCTGGGCCAGCAGTGACGCCCAGGACAGAACAAGGCCGACAGCAGTGGGCAGCACCAGCAAGGCCTGGGTGCTGGGACACGGGCACACTGGGGTCAAAGAGTCCTTAAAAGAGCAGCGTTTGCTGAGAGGAACCGTGGGAAGAGCAGAGAAACACGACAGCGGAACTTGGGGCCATGTCCAATCAGCACCGGATTGTTCACGACAAATCCAAGAGCCCCACGCTGCGGCAGGGCACCGTACTCCATCACGTCAGAGGCAGTGGCAAGACTGTGTGGTCATGGTGTCATCACCACAGGGCCACACTAGTCTCACGCAGCCAAGGGGCCACAGGCTGACCCTTCCAAACTCCATGCTCCTGGGGTGTCGGGAAGCTCTGTGTGCAAAGGTGCCCTAAGTGCCTACAGCTCCCTCAGGGACACCCGTGTCCACTCTTCCTTGTACCCTGTTCTAAACTCCCTCCAGCCCAGCCTGGGGCCCACTTACCTCTGAGGGGGGATGTAAGGGGCACACACGGTGGGCAAGACCGCGCAGGGCTCCGTCGGCGTCTTCCGGGCCTTTTTCGCTTTCTTCCGGACCTTGGATGTGGACCTGGCTGCCTTGACCGGGCTCTCTTTTCGGCAGACGCCATTTTTCGTCTCCACGTCCCCATAAATGTTCAGCGGCCTCCGGGTGCAGCCCGGTGGCGTGTGAGCGTCACAGTATGCAGTTTTTCGGACCGAGAAGGTGGTGGCACCACCAGTCAGCTCCTTCACAGGCTCCATCTTCATGTAGAGGCCAGCCCTCTGGGCACACGTCACGTGGAAGGCCGTGTAGCAGTTGGCCTTGTGGCACTGGATGCAGGCGCCCACGCCCTTCTGCTTGCAGAGGTAGCAGGTGAGCTTCCAGCGGGCAGGCGGGATGTTCCGCACGCCATCGATGGGCTCGATGAAGACCGTGTTGGCAAAGCCGACCTCAGGGATCCACAGGGCACACACCACGTGGCCCCAGCGGTCGTCATCCGTCTTCTTGAAGGCACCGCCCCTGTTGGGGCACAGCACGCAGTCGACGGGCCGAGCACGGGACTGCAGGCAGTGCCGGCAGAGCCACTGGCCCTCGGGGATGTAGGGCACGCCGTAGCACTCTTGGTGCACGGCTAGGTTGCACAGGTCACAGAAGAGGATCACGTTGCTGTTCTGGCACTCACCGTCCATGCAGATGCAGCACACGGCGTCCTCGTCGATGAGGGCCTGCTGCTCACCCTGCTTCTGGTTCTCGCAGTACGACTCCTTCTCGAAGCGGTCCATGAGGAACTCAAACATGTGCTGCGACACAACCGACACGCAGTCGCCCTTGCGCTTCTCGTTAATGAGGTCCAGCCAGGCATAGTCCTCCTCGTCCATGTCATACTCCACCTCGTTGTCCAGCTCCTCGGCCGACTTCTCGACGAACTTGTAGTAGACAGGTGGCCGCCGTGGGGCTGACGGGGGACTGTAGTCGACAATACGCACCTTGGGCTCGGGGAGTGCGCTCGCCGAGGCGGGCGCACCGTGGGCACCAGCGGGGATGTCGCTTTTCTTTTTCACCCTGTTGTTTTTGTGGCGCTTGGTTCTCAGGCAGACGGGCGGCCTCTCACTGTTCTCCTTGTTGCTGTTGCACTCACTCATCTCCTGGGCGGTGAGGTCATCTTCCAGGATGATCTCCAGGGGGTCAAAGATGCTGATGCGGTGCAGGCGCCCCTCAATCTCAATCTCCACCATCCTCTGGGCTTGGGCGTAGGTCAGCGTCTCTCTTGTCGGGGAATGTTTAATACTGCACGGGGAGGAAGGGGGCCTGGCTGCGGGTCCTCGATGGCACCGGCCTTTCCTCCTCATTTGGTAATGATTACCTAGGCACAAAGCAGAGTCCGTCAGGCCAGGGTGGAACATGCGTCACCCACCCCCGAGGTTCTCGGGATCACTCCTCTTGGGACCCTCCCGCGGCCTGTCTTCACCAGGCCCATGCTCCACCAGGTGAGGAAGGAACAGGTGATGATACCAGGGGGAAAGGCAGCCAAGGGACAGCCCTCATGTTCCCGCTGACCCACCCCAGACAGCACAGCTCTGTGAGAGGCAGCTGCTGCCACATCCCCCTTTCTAAGCAGTCACAGGTGACGGAGATGACAACAGGCCCTCCAAACAGATCCCAGTGACCAGAAAACCCTGTGTGCTTCGAGGACCGCAGCAGTGGCGCTGTTAGGTGCGGCTCTGAGCTGCGCAGAGACTTGACCACTGAGCTGAGCCGTGTCCCCTCCTTCAGTTTTCAAGGAGAGCCCCCATGTGCATGCTGGGGAGCCATCTCCGACCCCTTCCTGACCCACTAAGAAACAAGCACTCGGCTCCAGTCCCTCCGTGGAGTCACTATGCTGCAAGGCCAGCAACCAGCCTGGTATCTAAGCAGGTGGCCACAGAGATTCCAGAATTTGCTCTTTTCAGAGCTGGGTGAAATCAGTGTGCACCCCATCCCTCCACTCTCTGAACGTCACCTCTTTCTTGGGGCTCCCCCGGCTGACGACTCTCCTGACTCAACCTGTGCGCTAAGTGGGGTGTCACCTCAGGGAGCATCCTGGGCGCCAACGAGAAGACCACTAGCCTTCTCCTAGAAGCGGACGACGCTGAGAAATCAGCCTGGGAACACGCCACATTGGAATCCAGGGCCTGGCTGCTGTGCCTGGAGGGCCACGGCAGAGTGACCAAGGGACCCACAGCCTCCCGCTGACTCAAGCTGGGCTCCGAGTCCTGGGTCCACCCTCAGGTACCCAGAGGAAATCCCAGCACATCCTGAACACCCTAGGACAGTTGTGTCGTGTGGTCTCCTCATTCTGCCATCATGTCGAAATGCCACAGAAATCCCCATGAAGAGACGTGTGGCGGACACCACAGTCAGCCAAACACCCAGTCACTGCACCTCAGGGGCCTCTGGTGCTCCCAAACCCTGGACTCCCTCGGGGCAGTCAGCAAAGCCCTCCTCCCCGGCCCACACACCCCATGGCCACAACCAGAAGAGCACAGGTAGCAGCACCCCCAAGTCCCTCCCAAAGTGAGACGAGCCCAGCCCCAGAACATCAACACCACAGCCTTCAAGGAGGGGACTCAAATTCACCTGGGACACCTTCCTTATGTCATTACTGAGGTGGGGCAGAGGCAACAGCTGGTTACTCACCAGGTTAAAAGCAAGCTTGTAATTTTCTCCTCTGCACCAAAGCACCCAAGAACTCCAACTATAATAAGCCCTTCGAACTCTAAACCCGCCCAGTGGGTACCAAACCCCTCATCGGACCACGTTCTATGCGAAAAACTGCCCCTCGTTCTGCAGGCTGCTGCAGGGCTGTAATTTGGACACATAATTGTGGGCAGGGGAAAAAGGCGCCTAGCAGTGTCCGGCTCAGGGTGACCCAAGGCCTCGCTGCTTCATCAGCCCTGCAGACCACAGGCTCTCTCTGGCCCTCAGCTCCCTCCACATTCTCTACCAGGACAAGCATTGCAGCGGGGCAGGGATCAGCAAGGAGGTGTGTCTTGGCAAGTGATTTTGCTAGATCAACCCTGAAGAGCCATGCAGGCCAGAAGACGGGAGGCTGGTGATCAACTCATGCCGTTCCAGCTACTTCTGTCCCTGGCAGTTCTGTCTGGACAGGCTGCTGAAATCGTCCACGCCACTGCCTGCTCAGCTACAGCGGGCAAAGTCAGTGTCCCGAGTGCCTGGAGCTTTTGCACATAACGCGCCCGCCTTGTCCCACGCTCACCTATGCCCGGCACAGCACCTAGGAAACTAACAGTGGCGCCCACAAAGCAGGAGCAGGCAGGTGCCGGCCACACGAATCCCCCAGGGTGCTACCGACTAGATCTGATAGTGACAGACACTTCCAGACAACCCCGCAGGAGGAAACGTTCTGGGTGACGGGAACGCTCTTGGCGGGGGAGGAGGGCGCAAACTTTTGTCCAACTCAGGGCTCTGCCGCCCAGAGCCGGGTTCCGTGGGGGCCGAGCACGGCCCGCCTCGGGAAGTTCCTTCTTTAAAGAGGCCCGGGGACTCTGGGCGAACCTGGCAGTGCGGCCCGGAGCCCAGGACCGCTGACCCAGGCTGGTCCCCGCGCAGCCATGGCGGCCCAGCCCGCCACCGAGAAGGCCCGCAGAGCTCCGCCAACGCCTCTCGTTAGGAACCCTCGCGACGCGGCCCTGCGAGCGGTAAGTTCCTGTGCTGGCAAAACAAACGGAGTGTGTCTGTTACATAACGCGCCCCGGCGGCCGGGCACGACG